AAACCGATGGTTAGACACACACACACTATTACTGTAATCCAGTGTAAGTCCTCTTCCCTGCACCCTTTGGAGCATAAGGTATACATAATTAAAGTCGACGCTCGAACTGTCAAGTTTGGGCTCAATTAAACTGGTATATTTATTGAGGCAAACATTTTTTTAAAATCACTTCACAACAATAAACAAAGTAATTAACTCCTAACTATTCCAATTTACGTTATTAGAAAATCGAAACACATCTACAAACTATTTTCGTGAAATTTGTGGTTTACCAGGTTAGATAGCATTTATTTCTGACTGTAATCTCTAAATTGCTGAGTTAAGCATACAACGCGATTAATGAAAAATCCTTTAAGGGTTTCATATAGGTTAATTATCTTGAACTCGAATTTCTAAATTCACAAAAGAATATGTTTTAAAACCAGTAAACTGCCACAATCGGTTAAAACATTCAGTCGTACGGATATTGTAAGCTGACGACAAAAACAAAGTGAATTGTAAATGTGAACATTTCCTTCGGAACCATAGAAATCGCCTTTCGTGACTCAAAATATTTATTGTAGGATAATGTACTAAATGCTTTGGTGCAGATTAAATAAACAAGTTTAGGATTCTTCCTTAAATATTGAAATAAATGTTTCCCAAGTTATTAAATTATGCAGATAAAGTGCTCACACTGACAAATCCAATGTTTCAATATGATAAGTTTAGAGGACGAAATAATTCACTGGAACAGACTTGTTAAACTGCTAACATTTCCGGAAGCTTGATTGGCTCACTACTGCTAGGGAGGCACATGTACCGTATCAGAAAAAAAATTCACATGACTCGCCATGGGTCGGCATATTTTTTCTTCGGGTGCTGTCTGGGCCTTTTGATGGATTTTTACGAAATAATTACGCCCTCATTTCTTGCTTAATATAACTGTTCGTTGTGAGGTGCGCAAACAATCTGTTTCTTCCTAACTGTGCGTATACGTAATTCTCTGCAATCATTTAGCACGTGCCTTTGCAAAAAATTTCAAAATGTATCAATCGTAGTTAACGAAACGTCTGCCATACGTTCTACTATGACCCCAACTATCCGTAAAAATAGACTGGGCCATAAAGCGTTGACAAAAAGCTATCAAAATCGGATAATTTCCATATCGGAACTAAAAGTTACTGATTGATCCAGATAGCATCGTTACCCATGCTGGTGCTTAGAACATTTGCAAATTGTAGTCTACTTAGTAAACAAGGTAACCTCAACCAATTTTCATTAAATGCTATGATCAAAAAGTTCTAAGCATTATTGGCACTTAAAAGGCAACCCTGTGAATTGAAAATGCACTAGCAAACGGCCACATACGCCCCAAACATTTCGCAGATTACTTTAAAAGCTCATTTAATTTTAACGTGAACTCATATGCTTCTTTACCGTTTAATATTTTCATGAAGTCGGTCATAGTGAAAGCACAGGGGAAGAACAACAATCTCGGCTAACCGATTTAGACTTAATTTCAAAACACTTCCATTAATGAGGAATGTGCGCATCGCTTTCCACCTGCGGTAAAGCGGACGTTAAGGGCATTAAAATGTGGTGTACATACCGACACTTAACAAGCACTGGACTAAATTCTTCCGTCCTTAACGCCGGAGAGGTAGCTGCACTTCTGTGACATATCCCCGTAAAGTAGTTCAATCGGTTTGCCTTGAACATCAAAGGGCAAAGAAATATTTCGTTGCAAATAAACTAACAGAGCAGCAAATCACCGTTTTTTAAAAATATCGGAAAAAAGGGAATGAAGTATAGTCAGAATATTGAAACCGGAAAGGGTCTGAATTTTACTGATTTGTGCGTTTGAATACTGCGAAACGATGCATTCTCGTATGACCTGATACCAAGTAATTTTTGCCTTGCATTCGAAATATTCATTACTTTAAGGGCACAAACAACATTTTAACTGTTTATTATAAAACATAGTAAGCATAGGTCAAGCATGATAATCTATGTTAAATAAAGTATCAACGTCTTACTTAAAGCAATATATTTTAAATCTATTAATTATACCTGAATACACTAAAGATTCTCCGGTTAGTATTTTGCATGTTACAGAAAAGTAAAATAACCATTGTTTAACCGATCTTCAAGAGAGTACTCAGTAATTAGCCGCTCTAGGCAGTACGATAAATGTGAAAGAAAAAAACACTGTTAGCTGTCTTAAAAAAAGAAATTGAGTCCAAGAACAAGTGTTTTGTAAATTATGAAACATCCTTTAAATTAACTTTATTATTATTATTATTTCATTACCAGCAAAACAGACTGTATAGATATTGAATTTAGCAACGTCCCGGGGTAAATTAGAATGCTCATCCTTAGAAGCATGTAAGCGATTATGTTAAATCTTCAACGTCGATGTGGAAGTCAAATAAACTTGGTTGGGCAAAAAAATAGTAGAAGAAGCGGAGTTATCTATATGTTGAACAGGTTTTCTTATGAGCTTTGCACCTGATAGCTTCAGTCTATCAATAAGTAATACATTTTGATTGTAAGAATTAAATTCTCAGTTATACGTTCATTATTTGCTTCAGATAGTTGTGGAGGCCATACAAACACAGTTTACACGGGGCAATGTTTACCATCTCTAAACATACACTAGATGCGTCTGTATATTTGGGTTTAGCTAATTAAGTTGAGGTTGAGTTAAAATGAATGAAAACTTATATAAACACTGTAATCGGATATAATCATCGAGGGATACACAACATTCCCCATGGCATAGCCACATTCTAGTTCGGTAGTTCCGTATGGAAGTTCCTTCCTGTGTAGTGTGCGAACGTTGTAGTTTTGTCTATTATTCACGCATATTTGTTCAACATAACAAACATAAGAAGTATTTGTTACGTAGTTAAGCGCCTTTCAAATTTGGAGGTAAATTATGCAGACTCTAACTGGTCCTTTTACTTAACTTCTGCGCCTTACATAGTATGTCTGACCCTACTAAATACGAGTAAGCGCAAGATGGAAGACAACATAACAATCAAACTGTAGACATAAGATAAGCTCGTCCATAAACCCTTTACATGTTGCAAGAAAAAAAATAATTCTCTTATATCTTATGAAATGCACCCTTACTAAGTATAAACACTCATTCGTTTCTCACGCAGTTGAAAATAGGAACGGTTATGGCAGTTTTCCAAAATAACAGGTGGTTCAGCTTAATGCTAACATTTATAGCTCCTTTACTTTGTGTACATAATGATACACATACACAGACCGATTAAGACAATTCAAGGAGATCAAGAAAAACAAAATGATTAGAAGTAGTTAATATTAGTAAGTATTATGGGTGGCAATATTAGTTGGACGTAGTGGTCATCTTTATTGAGCAAAAATACCACAGCATTGGCTTTAAAGGCTATTTTTCTCCTATATTGTGAGATAGGTTCACTTTAGTGAACAACCCCCGTTCAATGTTACCTCTTTCACGAAATATGTTTAGTTTACTCGCACAGTGAGCAAAGCTAGTGTAGCCTGGAATGAACAGTTCAGTGTTTATGGCGACAGGCATTGATGTGTTGCTGATCTGCTAAAAGAACAACGTTTAGTAGACGTTGATCGTATACAAGAGGTATTCAGAAGGCTAAAATACGCAAAATAAAATTCCTGATATCCGTTACCGATGGAGTGACCATTCTTTCTTATATGTGACGTCCTCGTTTAGATGTATTTTCAAGGGCAAAAACAATGTTTACGGCGGTTTAAACCTGACCTATGTCGACAACTGGAGCATGTGGTAAACCTAAAACTGCCGTGGTAAAACCGGCTCCCTGTTTACACATTTCCCTCCCCATCTTTTTGCCTTAGACGTTTTTTTCCCCAGTTTT